TTATCAACATTATCGAGATGAAGCAAGGATGTAACCAATAATTGTCAGCTTTAGATTTGGTCCGATTGAACTCAATATTTCTGTTAATAATTGAGGTATTACTCAAATAGTATTATAATAATGATAATAATACTCATTCAGTCTATCTTTCCATCTGAATCTGATGAAAACGATAACTATGGAAAATGAAATTGTTATATAATTGTTCAGTTTGTCTATTCTTAAGTCGAATAATCTGGTGTTTTTCTTGTCAAATAATTTTCTGTTTCGTGTTCCATTCGTATTGCACACATTGAATTCACTCATTTTTTGCTTGCCTTTGTTTCGGCAGCTATTTTTTTTTAAAGTTTTCTTTTCCTTTGTACATATTATATTCTACTATTGATGTAGTAGACGGATATAATAAATACAAATTTCTTTTGCGCTTCATTTGATGTGTAAATTTGGATTTATTTCGACTTTTTTCATTTACTCATTTGTATTGGTTAGGAGAGGAGAAATTCGCGATGTTACGTATCTTAGGAGGTTTGAGGAGCTTTTCTTAATGACTGAGAGATGCGTAATTTTGGTGAGGCAGTGAACACTTTGTGGGAATTGTTTTTGAGAGGCCTTAAGATGAGCCTTAAACGGTGATGCTAGGTATAGTTTGGTAATTTGTTGAGGCAGTGGAGAACTCTTTAATTGAACCAGTGCCCCTCGTCGAATCTTAAGGATTATAGAGTAGATCTGTAGACTACAGTTGTAGAGTCTCCCACTTGACTTCATTCAAATGCAGTATCAAGATCGTCGTCGTTCGTGTGCACTATCCGTTGTAAAAATCTCTTATCGTCCAGTATCTTTTCATATCAGTCAGTGAATTGCATGAAGTGATTGCTTTGTGGCCCAATTTCTCATGAACTCTTCAACTTGGCTATCATGTAATGTTCCCATTATGCTTACGATATGCAATTATAAATCATCTGTGAATACTTTACTTTCAAAACCTGTTCAATTTTCATTATTCGTCGTGTTTGTGTGCGATTCCGAATGCATTCAGCTGTATTGTGATTATTCAACCTATGCGACAACATTTTCCAGAAAAGCAAAAATTGCTCTGCTCTTTAGTCATTGGATTTCGTTATTTCGTTATTTCATGATTGCATCTTTTCTTTATGTTCCAAATACATTTCTATTGATCGTGAGCATTTTCGTTTACCAGTTCATTTTTCATGTGTTGTTTCATTCAGATATTCTCTGCTTTCTTATGAATCGTATAAAATTTTTAAATGTATCAAAATTTTTCCTCTACACATTATGTGTAAGTTGATGTGATAGAATCAAAGCGTTACTGTAGATTTCGCTTATCTTTTCATACAGATAATCATTATTTATGACGATTCAAGATTAAGACCACTCCGATGATATTTTTGTATACTTCACTTTGTAAGGAGTATCTGAGGTAGTATATCAGCTCAAATGCCTAATGATTCGTTAATCGAATTAAATATCATCATTGAAATGAATGAAGATACCAGCATTCGAAGGAACAATGTGCGGAAATTAATAACCTCGAGATCATTTCCAGAAGATCTACCCACTCAATCAAGTTGATATTTTCAGATCTGTTTAATCCGAAAGTCCGACAACTTAAAAAAAGAAGGATTCCGCGAGCAATCATTAGTATTATTAGACGGAGTGCCTTCTGGAATCAAGCATCTAATATTAGCGCTTACATACTCCGAGAAGTTTATTCTCATTATGAATGTTGAATCGAGTTTGTCGAATATCGCCTTCTGATCTTTCCTTTTGCCTATTATCAACGAAACTGGATCAGCAGTGGGGACGACTGATTTCCAGTAGTTGCAGTTTTTTAATTTGTTTGATTCGAAAAGGATTTGTAGAAGTAGAAGATGCCTTCAGTATCATTGCCAACCACACCACGTAAAGTTGAACGGGTATGTTTTGAGTGCGTGCGATTCTTATTTTGGTTGATATTATTATTAATACAGTTTTGAGCATGTGTTTGTTATCAATTTTGATCAGTGATTACAAGTAATAGTAAGCTGAAATGAAGTGTCCAAAACTGTGAAGATATTGAATTAATATTGGTAACTGCTGTTAATGATGGTGATATTGATATCAGTAATCGGAAGAGTAACCTTAATTGTAAATATTACCATTAATAATGATCAATGAAAACACTCGTGATGAGTTGGATTTGCTGATTAAATGATTAAATAAATAAATGATAACGATGAAAGAATTATCACTTGTAGCGGCCAAGTGAAGTATACGAAAATGGTACATTAGCGCATGCGAAAGATCGATCACTGGAGATCAAATGTTTCCGAATGAAATCGTTTCTGAATCAGCATCGTGATTCGTTGCATTCACATATTTCACAGTTGAGACATTTCGCTTCATCACCTGGAGGTAGTAGCTTACATCGCTTTTCATTACTTTTATCTGAATATGATAAAATATGATATTTCGAGAATTACAACCAATTTGATCATTTCATCATTGAGAAGAAAGTAACATCTGTTTAGCATCTCATCAGTTTTCAATTCAGTCGTTACCTTTATTATCAATAGAAACGTTTACATTCTTAGGTTTGGTACTAGATGAAATTCGTGCGATTGTCTGGCCCGTGCTAGCCGAAGCGTTGGTACACGATAGAGACCAGGAGACTGGTGATTCCACATCGGATGGTTCAGTGACTGGATCGGATTCGGATTTCGAATCGGCCAAATCGAATTTTTCAGATGAGATCGATTTCGCAGAGTCATCACTATTACATCGCAGTGACTCACCAAGTAGTTCTAAAAACACGGTTAGAACAACAGTAATGACATTCATTATGGCGTTTTTATGTCTTGAGAAAAAGTGAAACAACCCAGGTTTCCGTATACTTTTTTGGCGAAAAGCTAAAAAAATCTGAATTTAAGGTGGTGAAGCACCTCTCCATTGATGATCTGAAAACGCATCGTGAATGGAATCAAGTCGAAATGGACGTACATCGAACGTTAGCTAGATTCCCTCCGAACATCTCCGACACACAACGTTCCATTCTGCAAACTGAACTGACCCCGTTGATCGTGCGCATTCTATGGCGATCACATAGGTTTAGATATTATCAAGGTATGCGACAAGTCATCCAAATTTTTCGATTGTAACTTTTTGGCTCAGCGCTGAGGAGAATTCTCATTAAGTTTTATCAAAAACCAGCTAGTGTTCGTTGCAAACATTCCTTATGGATGCTGCCAGTAGGCTGTCTTCGTCGTATGTAAAGAAACCTGATTGTGAGCGTTTTATCAGTTTACGGATGTGAATTATTGCGAATGTTGAAGATTTTTATGGGAGTTTCTTTATTTTAGGTTTCCACGATGTTTGTCTAACATTGCTACTGGTTCTGGGCCTAGAATCTGCGGAACGAGTGGGGTTAAAACTAGCAAAATATGGTGCTTTCAATGCGTTAGTTTCACCTCCATCAATGACAAATCTCTTCCGAATTTTCTTACAATTAGTTTATCGATATAAATTTAGTTGAGTATGGAAGAAATATGGTGAAAGCTAATGGAAAGAATGCAACAAGAGCTGCAGATCAGTACTTATGACAAAGTTATGAACTTAAGGTATTTAACGCAAACACTCGAAGAAACGGTTCTTCGTGATTTGGATTTGCTCTATGTGATAACGTGGCGAGTAGATGCGGAACTGGAGAAAGTTATGCGGTCTGTTGAGCTAGGCTCATTGTTTGCACTGAGTTGGCCACTTACATGGTTCTCGCATGCATTACATCACTATCGACAGGTTTATATGATCGTTTTTTCGTATTTTATATTAAATTAATTATATTCATTCATTTGTCCATATAAAAGCAATTTATTTTCATTTATAACTGTTGAAAATGTTGAACGGTGATGAGTGGGAATAAATTGTTCACAAATTTCTACTGATAATGAATTATGACTGATGTTCACTGAGTAAATTTAGACGTGATAATGAAATTTATAAGTTCACTTAATATTGGTATCTTAGCATTGGTTTTACCTGAATTACCTGGATTGGTCAGGCTATCAAACGTTTATAACGTTGACGGCCACAATGCTCGCGTTTCCGTGCGCATTGTTTGGTAGTTTTAGTATTGGTATAAGTATAATTTTTATATATCTATATCTATCGCCTTGCTGAGCTGACTTTCACGGAAACTCATTTCCTTTCATATTATGTTCCAAGAGCAGTTTACTTTTAATTTCCAGAACCAGACTTTTTTGTTCCTTATTAGTATTGTCTTGCGCATATTCAAAATTTGAAGATAGTCAACCTTTCGATGGAGTTGTTTGTTTCAGATCGTTCTCTGTTTCGATCTCTTCTTAGCGTCACATCCGTTAATGCCGGTCTATTACACGTCGGCGGTGGTTTTGTGGCGTTCATCTGCGATTCTGAATACGGCCTCGAGGGATATGCCATCACTACATCATCTGCTCAACATTATGCCTAATGATGTGCCAGTTCAAGCGTTAGCCGACGATGCGCAAGATTTGTTTCGGTTAGTTGATTGATTCGGATGGCAGGAAAGTGATGAAATGTTGAGAAGTCGATGATTTGCAGTAATGTGATGGAGCTTGTTGAAATCGAAATTTTCTCCGGAATAGCCTTTAGTAAAACTCGCGATTTAGTGGATTGAGAACGTAGAGTTTCTTATTTCCCTTAATTGTTTCAATCGTTGTCGCCATCTCAAATCGCTCGTAAAAGTACGTCAGACACCAGGGTTCTTCCATATCAGAATGTATCTGATTGTGAGGAAGGATCTTGGCGATTTTTGGAAAATTAATTTTGGGAAATTCTAATTTGTTCGTCAGGTATCAGTATATAGGAATTGCAGGAATTTAGCTCGTTCGTACCTCAGAATGAAGTTAATTCGGCAGAAGTTTCCGATTTGAAGAGATTCATTTGAATATGTTGCTTTTTTAGCAGTTCATTGTGGTGAAGTATTCGGATGAGATGGTCGCAACCTTATTAAGCAAGTTGTTGAGTTTCAGGATGTTGCCACCATCGCTGGTTCGAGGCACATTGCTCGATGACTATCGTCGAATCTTGAAAGAGTCATCCGTTCGGAAGCCATCGCTACCCACACCGTCTCTGAGGGCATGGCTTGTAGCCGGAACAGCCACGGCGTCGATATATCTCCTTTCCAGATATCTGTTTCTATCGCCTTCCTAAGCTCACTTCCACGGAAACTCACTTCCTTTCACATGTTTCTTCTGATAGTTTTAAGAAGGGATTTATCCAAAAATTGAACCTTTTCGGATCAGAAACATTTTCCTGAAAGCGTAATTTCGTGGAGACAGCTGCTTAGTTGAGCTGATATCGTTTGCCGTCTTGGAAGTATGATGCCAAGGAAGGACGAATGTAGTGATGTTATTTGTGATATTGGTTTAGAATAGGGAGACGTGCATTCATAATTGGTTGTTATAATTGTTGACTGATTAAATGATTGTATAAACGTAGAGAATTAAAAACATAATCTCTCCTTATTCTGCGATATGTATTATCGGAGGATGATTTGTTGGGATCGTGTTTTGAGCAATAAAAACTTTTGAATAAAAAATTGATGAGAGAGGGAACGAGATGTTAGAAATGACCTATGTTTTGTTGAAATGACTTCTCACGATTATGATTGTGAAAATTGAATGAATAAGCGTCTTCTCGTTGTGTCCGCTTAAAAATTGCGATATTTGTTGTACTTATATTTTGATGACTTTGGATCGTTGGATATTTCTTTCGTTTGATTGTGAGCTTTTATTCTGATTTGTTTCAATTTTTGATTCGACGATTTTCTGTCATTTTTTCATTTATAATATACAAATCTGCTCAAAAGAATTATTCAAATGTACTTTATTAGTTAAAGAACCATTTGCATATTTGTGTATTTATAAATATTCATTTTTTTCATTTCTGTTCTACCTTGCAAAGGTTTTTACTCGTTTTGTTTTGGGGTTTTTTCATCGTAAGGGTAAAATTAGTCATTCCTGTTAATTAATTTCTCGCATTCTTGCTCTAGTATTTTCGCTGCTCTCTATTTTCATGTTCTTACTATTGTGATCATTGATATCGTTGCTGCTATTATCTTTATGATTGTTATTATCGCGACTGATTTCTGATCATGTTATTAGCTTTTGTATCTGTACAAAAATGTCCCTTCCCTGTAGCCTCATGTGATAATAGATGAGAAGAAACTACACGTATGCGTGTATCATCCTTTCGGGAGTGAAAACTTTTGATGTTATTTTCGATGCATTTTCTCGATTATCGTCGTACTGAGCCATCATGACAACAGATTTCTTCTCATTTGACAAAATATCCTTTATATGCTCATTGTTTTTCTGAAAACTCGCTGCTGTTTGCAATATGTGTATTTATTCATGAAAAAAGTTCCTTTCATTAGTGAATATTGCTTGCTATCGATATTTTAATTTATTTGTATAGAAATGAAATAAAGGAATTTTAATGTATCTCTTCGAATGATAATCATCAACAGTCAATAATAATAAGCATTTATTTGATCAGCCAATAATAATAATCACAATAGAAGTAATAATGAGTTGTCCCTGTCGTTATTTTCGTCTTCCTAGAGAGTAGTTCTCAAATTCGAGAGCTCCACTACCCCTTCCGATGGATAAAAACCGAAAATGGATAAAAATCTTAATGTAAATGAACAAAAGGCTTCCCGATACCTTTTCACTACCCAACCCCCTCCACCGACGCCCTCGAATTACCCAAAATGAGTAATTTCACCCCCTATGGGAACCCAGAGGATGTTTGTATTCTATAGGATCATGATGAAACTGAGAGCAGTGCTGATCACAAATAACCTTGTAGCACTAAATTAAAAAATGATAAATAGTAACGATAAGGTAATAAATATCAATGATAAGTTATCAGTTAGCATAAGCATAAATAAAAATTGCCACTAGTATCCAGTGAGATAATTTGTCTTTCACGAGATGATGGAACACATCACCCATATTACCCGCACCAACTATCACTATCGACCACAGAGTCAATCTCAATGAGAACTTTAATAAACAATTCGATCTATCCATGACAAATGATCCTGTGAACTTCAACTGAACTCTTCAGCTGTTCAGCAAATCACACGAATTTCAACTGAACTCATAAATTACTTCAGTCAAAAATCAATCATGATTGGAATAAATACATTGAAAGACTGAATTTTTCGTTGTGAGACTGACGATTAGGACATGTAAAAAACGTTGGTTAATTGATGAAGATTGTTGTTTCCATCAAATTTGTCTATTCAATCGAAAACTATTTTAACAACTTTATCAATTCAATCGAAAATTCAAGTCGTCAACTGAAAACAGTTCAGCGGATAGATCGTTCAGGAATTTTAAGTCCATATTGGGAAATAATTTGAAAATTGCACAAAGAATCAAATGAAAATTTATATACTCATCTTATTATTCAAAAATGCGAAGTCAAGTCTATGGTGATATCTGAATAAATATTTCTATTCATTAATCTGTGTTGAATAATTTAGATCTGCTCATTAGTTACTGCATAGTACATCACTACTAAATCATATCCGTCGCAATTCACACTTTCCAAAGGTTCACAATCTCGCATTTCAGCACTTGCAGATTCAACTTTCTATTGGCATGTTATCGGAGATTATTTGCAGAATCTCCGATAACATCCTCATATCATCGAGTCTATCTCTCGATTAATCACTAGCGATTGAAGCAGAGCGATGAAACGTGATATTAGTGAGTATTATCTCGGAAAACGAATGCATAACAGATGTTAGTCTCTTTAAAAGGATAGTGTCAAATGACTGTTAAAGTTGTTCCAGTGAACTGAGTGAATAAAACATAAATATTTGTATGGTATTTCAATGATGATTTCATGTGAACGGTAAAATTCTTGTTTAATCTATTAATTGCTAAAGGAACGAAGGACACCAAGGCGTGTCTTCTCATTTTCTGCTGATAGCAATCATTATCGGTATCGTTATTATCGCTGTCAGTATCATTATTTGTATTATTCTTGTTATTATTGGTATCATTATTACTATTATTCTTATTATTATTGTTAATAATATTAATATTATTGTTATTGTTATCGTTATTATTGCTACTACTATTGTTATTTTTATTGTTATTGTCATTGCGTTTCAACATGTCAATCGACAGGTAAGGTTGGTAGGCGACTGTGATCTTACACACGATTATATTCTATTGTTACTAATAGTACTACGTACCTGTTTAGGACCCTCAACAAGTTTTCGTTTATTTCATGTTGAATGAACACACTTAGTTGCTCAGGGTACAGTCTCTGACATTTCAGAGTGGATTACGATTAACGTGCAGGTGCGCACTTCATAACTGTACCAATAGATCTATTAACTTCTTAATATTCTTTTTAAAGTGATCGAAAGTTCCTGCACGTGCCATTTTTATTCATTGTTGTTCCATCTGATCTGCAGGTGATATTTTTACTATCGAAGTTTCTGTAAGAATTTAATGAGAAGGCCAGAACTGTTACTTCATTTAACCGGAATTGACTCCAAATAAAGTATCAACTTGGAAAACAAAAACTTCTCTTAGTTTAAATGAGATCGGTGATGATCATTATTGATCGGTTTGAAAAGCGTTTGATTCCGATCAAGTGCCGATTGATCTGTGATGTATCCGTCTATGACAAAGTTCCGCTGATCTTATCAGACTGATTTGTTTGATTGATTTATTGCGAGGACGATTGATTTGAAAGTGATAACGTCTCAAACGTGCCCGTTCACTGTCGTTTATACATTTACATGATGATGAAAACATTGCTTGAAATAACTTATTATTGATCATTAACTCAAATTACTCCACTTAAAATCCTGAAGAGGTTGCTCTCCATCGGAAAAAATTCTCATTAAAACTAAACAATTTGTTCGTTCGTTCTTCTCACAAACGAAATTTAGGAAGAGTATTTGAAAACTGCCAAAAAGATTTTTGAAAATAAACTCTCAAATGAAATTT